AAAGTGAGAAATCACACATACACACACACCCACACACGCACACCCCCAGGGTGATTGCCATGCCACAGTCCCTTCTCCTCCCTCTCCTCTTGGGATTTTTGACATGCATGCACATGTGCCCAGAATGATTTTCAAGCCACTGGGTCCGAGACTCGAACTGCAATCAGTCACATGGGAGTCATATAGTGGCCCAGCACTTTAACCACTACACCACTTGCTGGCCCATGTTTCTTTTTTGGGTGGAAAAATTTTTGCTATTGGGTGCATGTACTCACCATACAGGGGAAGACAGAAAGTGAGAAATCAACTCTCCCAGGGGCCGGGGAATGTCCACACCACCATCCTTTCTCCTCTGCTCTCCCAGGATTTTGGGCATGCACTCACACACACTTGGTGTGAATTTGAAGCTACCAGGTCAGAGACTCGAACTGCAGTGAGCTATGTGAGAGTCCAGCTATGTAACTGCTATGCCATCTGCGCGCCTCCACACCCCACCCCATAATTCTTTTTTGAGATGTCTGTCTCAGTGGAATTTCTCCTTCAAGTCATGGAGTGATTTTCTTTCTTTCTTTTTAATTTTATGTTACCTCTTTATTTTTATTTATTTATTTATTTTTGGAGAGATTTTTTTGCTATAGGGCGCGTACGCTCTCCAGAAAGACAGAGAGAGACAGAGAGAAAGCGAGAAATCACCCCCAGGGGGGATGGCCATACCACGATCCCTTCTCCTCCATTTTCCTCTCAGGATCTTGGGCACACACACACACGCCCCCCGCGTGAGTTTAAGCCACCGGGTCCGGGACTCGAGCCACAGTCGACTACATGGGAGTTCAGTGACATAGCCATTACACTAATTGCTGGTCCCATGGAATGATTTTCTCATCTCCAGGAGCTGTCTACTTCTTTTCTCACAACTCATTGTGTTTTGTTACAATGAATATTCTGAGTTCTTTTTCTGACATTTCTGTTATTTATTATGTTCTTTCTATGGTTGGTAGGGAGTGACTGTGTTCCTTTTACCTAGAAATGCTACCTGGTTTTCTCAAATTTCTGGGGGTTCTGCTTTGGGTTTTAGGTATCAGGTGAAGTACTCACATCTTCCTAATTTTCTGGATAGGTTTCTGCAGCAGTATACTTGTGCACTTTCCTTTTATATGTGTTAGCTCTGAATCAGTTTCCCTATTCTGTGGGTGGGAGTGCTGGATTTCATGGTGGGAGTTTTGGAGTTTGAAATTGCATATAGGTTTTTCCTTTTTTTGCCCTGCAGGAGGTGGGGAGTAGGGGGAGAATTCCTTCAGTGCTGTAGTATCTTTAGGCAGTTGGTTCCTTTCCCAAACTGTCTGACCCTGATGTGGCTGTGGACTGAGCTGAGAAGCAAAATATGACATATATAACACATGCTTTGTGTTGTGTATTGAGTGACCTGCGGCTCCCTTCATACTGCTTCCTATCTTGCTCTGGCTGGCCAGATGGAAAATGACATACCCCAACAAATAGAAAATCCCTTTTCTTTGGGTGCCCAAGGAGATTGACGTGGGGTGTGGTAGTAAATGAAACACAAGCCTAGCTGCAGAAGGCTCCCTACCTTGCTCTGGTTGATTTTTGCCACTTTTTACTGCCATTCCCCTCCTCCCTCCTGCTTCTCTGGTCAAATTAAAATAATAATAACGATAAATAAAATAAAATAATGTTTAAAGTTGTTTTACACTATATTTAAAGGTTCTAATTTGACTCTTCAATAGACTTTGTATTTCTCATATGCTTCTTCACTCATTAGTTTATCTAGTTCTAAAGAGTTACTCAGTGTCGTCTTGATCAGCCAACCATCTTTATAACAAGATTCGTTGATGAGTCCTGGATTTTCTGCAAAAGCTTCATTAATTTCAGTTACTTCTGAGAGGAGAATAGCATTCACTAGCAGCTTTCACATTTTTCAAAGCCCCAAACTCATTTTGTTTGTTCAGTTTTGTTCCAACTTAAGGCAGACAACAATAAACATTTCCCAAAGCTTTGTGTGCAAAATCGCTGATTCCCACTGTTCCAATACCATTTTCTGTTGTTACCCATTTCTATTTCTCTATGAATTTAAACATTGACAGCAGAGCTAGTCCCGTGTGCAGTGTCTGGTTGGCACCTGCCCCCAGCCACCAGGGCCATGGAGAGCAGGGCATGGCAGGCACTGATGCCATGTGCAGGCTGCAGGCTTTGGCCCGCATGCTCCAAACTGCACGCTGCACCATATTCACAGGGGTGCCAAGGGTGGTGGGGCTGCTCAGGGCCCTAAAATGATTCTTAAAACTTTGTGTGTATTTGTTCTTGACAGAGGGCATTTGTGCTTACCAGAGAGAAAGAAAAAAGAAATTGAAAGTAACTCCCAGGAGAATGCTCATGCAGCAATCCCTCCTCCATTTCAGATTTTGGACACGTGCACATTAACCCTGTGTGTTTCTTAAAGTTCTAGGTCCAGAACTCAACCCATACAGTCACCCATGTCGGATCTAGTGGTTTTAATTACCATGATATGGCCTGGCCCTGAAAATTTTTGTTTTCTGTGTTTTGTTTTGTTTTCCATAGGGTGCATGTGCTTGCCAGAGAGAGAGAGAGGGAATGAGAAGTCAACCTCCATAGGGGATGGGCATGCCGCAGCCTTTCTCCTCCATTCTCCCCTTGGGATTCTGGGTGTGCACACACATGCCTGGCATGATTCTCAAACTGCTGGGTCTAGAACTTGAACCACTGTTGGCCATGTAGGAATCCACAGCCTTAACCAGCACACCACCTGTCAACTCCCTCCCAATTTTTAAAAAATTAACATTTAATAATTTTCACACACCTGTGGAGGTACAATATGATGTTTGGTACAAAAATACATTGTGTTATGATTAAATCAGGGTAATTAGCATTCCTGTCATCTCAACCATTTGACATTCCTTATGTTGGGAACATCCCAAATCCTCCCTTTAGATACATTGAGCTACACAATTGTTGCCACCCATATTCTCCCCACTCTATAACATAACACTAGAAATTGTTCCTCTTTTATCTATCTGTAGTTTTTGTTAATCAGCATACCTCTATGTCCTTCCCTATGCTTCCCAGCCTCTAGCAGTCATTCTTTATCTCTACTTTTACAAAGTCTTTTTTTTTTTTTTAATTTCCATACATGTGGGAGAACATCTAGTATTTCTTTTTCTATACTTCAGCCTCTTTTTTTTTTTTTTTTAAGAGGTTTTTGACTTGGGGCATGTGTACTTGTTAGAGAGAGACGACAGTGAGAGGGAAAGTGAGAAATCAGCCCCCAGTGGGGATGGCTATGCCACAGTCCTTTCTCCTCCGTTTCCTTCCTGGGATGTTGGGCACGTATATACATGCACTTGGGGTGATTTTTCAAGCCACTAGTTCTGATACTTGAACCGCATTTGTCCATGCGGAAATCCAGCAGGGTAACCTCTATGCCATCTGCTGGCTCCCCAAGCCTTTGTAATATATATCTTGCCTCTTAACCATTTTTAATTTGACCAGAGAGAAACAGAGAAAGAGAAAAAGGGAAAATGAGAAAGCAAGCCACCAGGTCCAGGACTTTTAGTGGGGTTTGGCCATGTGGAAGTCTAGCTGTTTAACCACCATGCCATCTGCTGATCCATAACCTTAGTTTTGAGATACAAAAATTAACCTTGAATCTTTTTTGAAAAAATAGTAGTTTTTACAATAAACCAGATTTTGTGGCTATTAAGCACATGTTACCTGTTTACCTTCCTTATCATATTAACCTGTTAAACTTTGAACAAAGCAAAAATGATCCGCTTCCCCCCCCACATTTATTTACTTATTTATTTATCGAGAGGTTTTTGCTTAGGGTGCGTGCGCTCGCTGTAAAGACGAGAGAGAGACAGAGAGGCAGAAAGCGAGGAATCACCCCCCAGGAGGGATGGCCACGCCGCAATCCCTTCTCCTCCATTCTCCTCTCAGGATCTTGGGTGTACACGCACATGCGCCCGGCGTGAGTTAAAGCCACCAGGTGTGGGACTCAAACCGCAGTCAACCCATATGATAGTCCAGCGACATAGCCATTACGCTAACTGCTAGCCCCATATTTATTTATATTTTTAAGAGATTTTTTTTGCTGTTGGGTGCATGTACTCGCCAGAGACAGGGAGAGAGAGAGAAAATAACCTTCCAGGGGGCATAGCCATGCCACAATCCCTTCTCCATTCTCCCTTTGGGATTTTGGGCATGCACTTACATGTGTCTGGTGTGAGTTTCAAGCTGCTGGGTCTGGAACTCAAACTGCACTTAACCATGTGGGAATCTAGCACCTTAACCACTATGCCACCTGCTGCCTCCCCCTCCCCCCTTTTTTAAATAGATTTTTTACTATAGGGCATGTATGCTTGCCAGAGAGACAGAAAACAAGAAATCTCCTCCCTGGGGGAATAGCCACACCACAATCCCTTCTCCATTTTCCTCTTGGGGTTTTGGGCACGTGCACTAAGCTACTGGTCTGGGACCCTAACTCCTACGTGGGTGTCCAGCAGTGTTACCATTACACCATGTGCTGATTACCCCCCACCACACACACACACACACACACACACACACACATATTTAAAAATGTGTTTGCATTCAAGAATCCAAATACTTCAAGCATTCACCTGTCTTCTCCTTTCTGACTTTGAAAGAGTATTTCTAGGGCTGGCAGGTATCATGGCAATTAAGGGACACTGGACTCTCACATGGCCAACTGTGTTTGGAGTCTCGGACCTGGCAGCTTACTTTCTCACTTTTCCTCTCTTCTTACTCTGTTCCTGTCAGTTTAGAATGAATAAATAAAGTTAAATAAAATAATTCTTTAATAAAAAGAAATAAAGAGTATTTCTAAAGAGTAGGGTGGACAATATTTTTAACAGTGTAAATTATATTATTGGATAAAAGTTCCATTATGTTGAATAAATCATTTTCTTTTTTCTTAAGGAATTGAATGACCTGGCACGCGATCAAGCAGGTCCTGTTGGAGATGACAGTAAGTATTTAAAAGGAATTATGGGCCCACTCACATTAGTGGTCCTTGGAAGGCTGAGGCCACATGGGAGATTTGAGTTTGATCCTTGGTCTATCTTAAAAGCCAGGCAATGTGGCACACCTGTGTCCCAGCTGCTTGGAAGGCTGAGGCAGGGGGATCACTATATAATGAGACATTGTCTGAAAAAAGAAAACTGTATGTATGCACACACATATCTAAGAAATGAATAAAACAACGTAACAATCTGCTTCTGGGGAACTCTGGGTCAAATGAATTTTTTTTATTTCTTAAGGTTTTGCATAAAGAGATAATTATGCGGGACCAGCAGGTGGTGTAATGGCTGTGTTGCTGGACTCCCACGTAGTCGACCACGGTTTGAGTCCCATACCCGGTGGCTTAAACTCATGCCGGGCACGTGTGCGTGTGTGCCCAAGATCCCGAGAGGAGAATGGAAGAGAGGGGATTGCAGCATGGCCATCCCTCCTGGGGTGATTTCTCGCTTTCTACCTCTCTCTGTCTTTCTGGCGAGCACAAGCACCCTATAGCAAAAACCTCTCCAAAAAAAAAAAAAAAAGAGATAATTATACTATAGGAAAGAGGCAATATTTACCTTTTTTTCTTTTTTTTAAGAATTATTTTTTGGGGGCCAGCAGGTTGTATGGTGGTTAAGGGCACTGGACTCCCATATGGCTGATTGTGGTTCTAGTTCCTGACCTCGCAACTTGCTTTCTCACTTTCTTTCTCTTTCTCTCTCACTCTCACTCTGTCCCTCTCTGGTTAAATTTAAATAAATTTAAATAAGGTTAAATAAAACTGTTCTTTTAAAAATAGAATTGTGGGGGGACCAGCAGTTGGCGTAATAGCTATGTCGCTGAACTCTCGTGTAGTCAACTGTGGTTCAACTCACAGACTCGATGGCTTAAACTCACGCCAGGCATGTGTACGTGCGTGCCCAAGATCCTGAGAGGAGAATTGAAGAGAAGGGATTGCGGTGTGGCTACCCTCCTGGGGGGTGATTTCTTGCTTTCTGTCTCTCTGTCTCTCTCTGGCTTTCTGGTTAGCATATGCTCCCTATAGCAAAAACCTCTCAAAAAATTAGAATTTTTTAAATTTAACTTTATTTATGTATTAATTTTCTTTTTATTTTATCAAGAGAGAGACAGACGGACAGAGGGGAAGTGAGAAAGCAAGTTGCCAGGTTGTGAATTTGAACCATGGTTGGCCATGTGGGAGTCCAGCACCTCAACCATCACATCACCTGCTGACTCCAGTATTTATCTTTAGTTGCCTATGGAAGGAGTAGTTCTGTGTGTCTCCTCATTTCTGTTTTGTTCATTTTGAACCTTTTCTGCCAGGCATGTATAGTTGTTCTGGTCCTTTTCTTTCTATCTATCCTTATTCGTTCTGGGTATTTTCCTGGGGTTATTATTTGAGCTTTTACCTACAATTACTGTCTTTTAATAAAATAATATTAAGGATGATTATATGTCTATGTCTGTCTTACTGGCTTACACTTGTGAAAGCAAATACAAATTTTTAATCTGACTGGGGGTAGGGAATGATAAAGCAAACTGTCAGGGCTGGGACTCAAACTGCAGCTGGCCATGTGGGAATCCAGCACCTTTATCCATCATGCCACCTGCTGAACCCAAGTCATGATATATTTTTCTGTGTTTGTCTATGTAAAAATGCGTCATGAGTGTTCCGATGACCCAATATATAGTAAGATGGTTGCTATGGCAAAACAGAGTAACATGTCCACCATCGTACATGGTCACTAATGGTTACTCACACCTATTAAAATTATGAAGACTCATGGTCATACTACAAAGTTAAAGAAAGAATGATGTTGTTCTCCAAAGTTAATAGTTACTTCTGAATTCGGTTCTTATGGGCTAGAAAAGGTACTCTGGCTATTATTAAATGCTCAGCAGTTCTCGGCAGGACCTTTTCTTAGACTCAGTTCTCCTCTTGGATCTTGGGCACGCACGCACCTACGCCAGTGTGAGTTTAAGCCACCGGATCCAGGACTTGAACCGCAGTCGACTACGTGGGAGTCCAGCGACACAGCCATTACTCTAACTGCTGGTCCCTACCTGGTGTTATTTTCAAGCCCTCTGGTCCAGGACTTGAACGGGGGTCAGCTATATTGGAATCCAGACCCTTAATCATAAATGCTGGCCCCTATTTGTTTTTATTTTTGCAATTATTTTTAATTTTTGTTTTCACAATAGGGTGTGCGTGCATTCATATGCAAGAGAGAACGACCCTCAACAGGGTCTCAAGATGCTATGATCCCCTTTCCATAGCCTTGTAGCTCCTCAGACCACTGAACACTTTCTCATATATCTGGCACATCTTCAAGCTGGGTTGAGAATCAAAGCCACAGTCAACCATGTGGCTTCTAGCACTGCAGTTTCATTTGCCACGAACTATACAATCAGGTTAAGCCAATTTATGTTTTTTTAATGCCCAGTTTGTTTGCCTAATTCTATCTAAAATACTTTTATTAACTGGTCTTATTACTTTAGTTAGATAATAATTTTCCCTTTTTTTTTTTTTTTTTTTTTTAGAGGTTTTTTTCACTATAGGGCGCGTGCACTCGCCAGACAGACAGAGAGAGACAGAAAGCGAGAAATCACTCCCCAGGGGGGATGGTCATGCCGCAATCCCGTCTCCTCTGTTCTCTCGGGATCTTGGGCACGCACGCATACGTGCCTGGCGTGAGTTCTAAGCCACCGGGTCCGGGACGCGAACTACGGTCGGCTATGTGGGAGTCCAGCAACATAGCCATTACGCTAACTGCTGGTCCTGATAATAATTTTCCTTTTGTTTCACCGTGTTAGCATAGTTCCCCTCATAATGTCTTCCTCTTTTTTATAAAGGGTGGCTACTTGACACTGCTTTATGCTATAAAACTAATTTTCAAAAAATCTTAAAATATAGCAAATTTTTTAGAACAAGCATATTTTGAAAAAATTTGTTAGAAATATCTATTGGTTAAGACCAAAATTGAGTATGAAGTTAGACTAGCTTTTGTTTTAAAATATAGTTTTTTTTCCTTAGGTTTTTGCCATAAGTGCTTGGTCTCACTAGATAAAGAGAGACAGGAAAAGTGAGAAATCATTTCCAGGGGAACAGCCATGCCACAATCCGTTTTCTTCCCTTCTCCTTTTGGGATTTTGTACACACTCACATACACACACATACACACACACACGCACACACACACACACACACACACCCCCACACACACACACACACACACACAGAGCCAGCATGATTTTCAAGCCACTGGATCCAGGACTCAAACCGTGGTCAGTCATTTAGGAGTCCAGCGCCTTAACCACCACATCATCTGCTGGCCCCTTTTGTTTAGACTTTTATTTTCCTAATTTTTCTTAAGAATTCTGTTTTAGGGCTGGTTTGCTTTCTCACTTTCTTTCTCTCTCTCTCTGTCTTTGTCCCTCTCTGGTAAAATTAAAATTAAAATAAGTTGGAAACCAGTGGTTAGTGTAATGGCTATGTCGCTGGACTCCCACGTAGTTGACCGCGGTTCGCATCCTGGACCCGGTGGCTTAAAACTCACGCTGGGTGCGTGTGTGTGCATGCCTAAGATCCCGAGAGGAGAATGGAGGAGGGGGGATTGTGGCATGACCATCCCCCCTGGGGGGTGATTTCTCGCGTTCTGTCCTTATGTCTGTCTCTGTCTGTCTGGCAAGCTCAAGTGCCCTAGAAAAAAAAAAAAAAAATTAGAATCCTGTTTCTCAGGACCAGCAGATGGCATAATGGTTATGTCACTGGACTCCAATGGAGTCCACTGCAGTGGACTGAGTCCCGGACCTAGCAACTTAAAACTCATACTGGGCGCATGTATGTGCATGCGCAAAATTCCAAGAGGAGAATGGAGGGAAAGGGACTGTGGTGTGGCTGTACCCGTAGGGGATGTTTTCTCAATTTCTGTCTCTCCAGCAAGTTCATATGCCCTGTAGCAAAAATCTCTCAAAAAAAGGGGGCGAGACCAGATGGCATAATGGTTATATCACTAGACTGCCACATAGTCAACCGCAGTTCAAGTCCCAGACCCGGTGGCTTAAACTCACACTCGGTGCATGTGCATGTGTGCCCAAAATCCCAAGAGGAGAAGGGATTGTGGTGTGACCATCCCCCCAGAGGAATGATTTCTCACTTTATATCTCTTTGTCTCTCCAGTGAGTACATGTGCCCTATAGCAAAAATCTTTTTATTAAAAACATAGATTCTGTTTCTCAGAACCAAACCAGCAGGTGGTGTGGTGGTTAAGATGGCTGGATTCTCTTGTGGCCAAGCATGGTTCGAGTCCTGGACCTAGTAACTTGAAAAATAATACTAAGCACGTGTGTGTGTGTGTGCGTGCCCCAAATCCTGAGAGGAGAGTGGAGGAAGATGGGATTGCAGTGTAGTCAACCCCTATTGGGCATTGATTTCTCATTTTTCATCTCTCTGTCTCTGTCCCCTCTTTGGCAAGTGCACGTGCCCTATGGCAAAAGAAAACTACCACAGTGGTCAGTAAGTGGTGTAGTAATTAAGGTGCTAGGCTCCCACATGATTGATCCCGGTTTGAGGCCTGGACATGGAGGCCTGAAAATCACACCAGAAGCACATGTATGCATTCCCAAAATCCTGAAAAGGGAATGGAGAAGGGATTGTGGCATGGTCATTCTCCCTGGGCGTTGATTTCTCATTTTCCCTCTCTGACAAGCCCATTTACCCTGTGGCCAAAACCTAAAACAAAATAAAAACAAAACTACTACAAGGCACAAGCAATTTTAAAAAAAACAGATGGGCCAGTCATGGTGATGCAGTGGTAACAGTGTTCTGTGATGCTGAGGCTATGTGTGAAGGTCTAGATTTATTTCCCAAATTTTCATTCTAACGCATACTCATGATCTAACTTGCTAAGGCTGGGGGAATGAACTTTCTGTGAAGGCTCCGTTGGAGGTTCCTGTCTGTGTTGTGTC